TATTTGAATTATAATTTTCGTTTTCGTATATGGTCGATATAGCTCTATAGTGAGATTAACTCCACGAAAAGATAGATCTTCTTCGAAAAATCGAAGAAAGAAAATAAAACAAAAAAAATATCCACGTAAATGCTTTTTTTGGTTACCCTCTTTGAGTCTGATTATACTCTAACACTAAAAGTTGTCTTATGTAGGGCGTTTCCGCTCTAGCGACAAATTTGTTTATTTAGACAAATTTTTCTGTCATCACCACCATTTTACAAGGGCGGATGGTTTGTCGCGACTCGATAAATTTTGGCCGAGGCAGACAAATCTTAAAACTTAAAAATTTTCCCGGGTAAAAATTTGGCAAGATCGACTGAATAAACAAAACCGTGATAAACTTGTCAATCATTTGTCGCATACGCTACGACAAGAGTGTAATTTGAACTAAAACCAATTTACTAGAAAGGAAAAAAATTGTCTTTTGAAGCAAAATTTGGGGATTCTAAATTGGAAATTGGAGGTGCTACTATGCTGGCCGGTCTTGTGAACAGATCAGGCATTGACGGAATTTGAGAGCTTTGAATTTTTAATGCAGATGCAACAGACGAAACAAAAATTTGTCATGACCACATTTGTTCGTTGATTTTTTCGAAACAATTCTAGTTTTGTTCTGTGGTGCAAAAAGGCCCGTAGAAGACGAAATGACGCAGAAAAACTTGATAGCATAGGGGAGAAAAGTTAAGTATACAGGAACGACGTTAAATGTAGTAGCCTTTTTTTTTAATATTCTGACAAGTTGCCAGCTACATCCGACCGAAACAGTCCAGTGCCACAAGGACAGAGGGATCAAGTTTTCTCTTCAAATGGGATTTTCATCTTGACAAAGAGGACCAAAGAAATTTGGACGCGTTCATTTTTGGTCTTTGGGAGAATGGGCAAACAACCTATTTTCTTATGACGGTGACCAAGCAGGGAACAGTGATTTATAATCCTCAGTTGAACGAAACACATCCTAGTTATGTCGGGCGAGTCACTTGGGCAGGAGACATATCGAAGTCGTACTTGGCCTATAAGTTGGTAGACCTGACTTTGTCAGATAGTAACACTTACGGGTGTGAAATTGACGTGGGAGCTTTCTATCGAACAATTCATTCTAAGATCACCTTAAATGTCCAGGTGAGATTCTGATGTAAAACTTAACGTATGTCTGCGTGTATATACGATTGAAGCTTACCTGGTTAAGACTTTCAGGCGCAACCGTACATATATGCACGACCACTCACTTGCCCCGAGGAATGACGCCTCGCTTTTATGTGGAAACCTGGTTGATGTACATTATTTGTTTTGTTGCTCAGTGTTACTACCACTATGTATTGTTAGCTTGCACATCTAACAGGTTATTGTCTTAGTAACAGACTTTATCCACACAAAGACGTTGCGGAAGTAAAATGAGCTGTAACACTCAGCTCACTTTTAATCAAAATCTGTTTGAGTGCTGTAAGCAGGTAATTAGTGTTAACAACTGGGTTGAAAACGTAAATTAGCCACCGTGTAAAAAAGCGTTTCGAGCGTTAGCCCTTCGTCAGAGCGATTAGAGGAATTATGGGTTGTGTGTGGATTTATATGTAGGAAGTGGAGCTACGCCATTGGTGGGAATGTGGTGACGAGAAAACAGGAATAAATTAGTTGAATGAAAAGCGCTCGTTGATTCCGTGGGGATTAAGGGTGCCGATTTGGAATATAAATTTTTGTTCTAGTGTTTTACGGCTTTCCGAACTGCCTAGATGTAAGGAAAGGCCGCAAACTGCCATATGCTGTTTAGAATGATAAGGAAGATTAAAGTGTCTAGCGACTGGTTTGGATGCGTCCTTGTCATTTCTTTCCACATCGCGAAGGTGTTCTCGGAATCGGTCACCCAGTCGTCTTCCTGTTTCGCCGATGTATAACTTATTGCAATAAGTGCAAGTTATGCAGTAAATAACATTGGCGGAGGTACACGTAAAGTGATCAATGATCTTAATGGATCTTTTGGGTCCCGATATTTTCTCTACGTTATGAATGAAAGGACAAGTTTTGCATCGTGAGCGAGCGCATTTAAAAGTTCCAGATTGGTCACAGGTTTGAAATGAACTCCTGACTAAAAAGTTGCCTATGTTTTTGTCGCGTTTGAATGAAATAAGTGGGGGTTGCGAAAAGATAGTGCCAGTCTCTGAATCGTTTTGGAGTAATTTAAAATTTTTAAGAATGATAGATTTAACTGCGTGGTTGTGAGGGTGAAATGTAAGAGTAAATGGAATGCGGTCAGTGTTCTCCTTCTCGGCCGTTTGTAGTGCTGCCTGTCGATCGATTAGTTGGGCACGGTGGTAGCCCGCTTGAACGACAGAAACAGGATAGCCGCGTTTATCGAAAAACTGGCACATTGCCTCTGATTTTTCGGAAAAATCAGAGTCGTCACTACATAAACGGCGAAGTCTGAGAAACTGTGAAAAAGGTATGGAGTTCTTGACGTGTGATGGATGTGAGGATGAATACAACAAGTAACTATGTGAATCTGTAGGTTTGTAGTAAACACTAGTACATAAGCCGTTGCCTTCAATTGAAATTTTGATGTCTAGAAAAGCTAAAGAAGTGTCGGAAATTTGCCAGGTATATTTAAGAGCCGGATGAAAGGAATTGACGGCGGTTATAAATTGAGTGAGCTCCTCCTTGGTAGAGGAGGTAGCGCCGATGCAATCGTCAATGTAGCGGCCGTAGAGTTGAGGTTTTGGGCCGTGGTATTGGCTAAAAAATTGGTGTTCGATAAAACCTACAAAAAGATTGGCGTAGCTGGGTCCCATTTTAGTACCCATGGCCACGCCATTAGTTTGTTTGTAGTAGTTACCACCGAATGAAAAACAATTGAGTGTGAGTACTAGTTCGGCCAGACGGAGCAGTGTTTCAGAGCTAGGTTCTTTAACAGTGCGTAGATCAAAAAAATGTTTGAGGGCCCGGAGACCTTCGTCATTGGGAATGACAGTGTAAAGAGATGTTATATCCATGGTGAAAATAAGTTTGTTTTGGTCGAGGAAACTAAAGTCACGAAAAATTTCAAGTGCGTGTTGGCTGTCCTTAATGTAAGACGGTAGAGTTTTGACGATAGGTGCCATAATTTTGTCTAAATAGCTGGAAATAAGTTCAGTGGGACAACTGCAGGCAGAAACGATGGGTCGACCTGGGTTGTTAGGTTTGTGGATTTTAGGTAAAAAGTAAATACATGAAGTTCTAGGAGTAGTAATGATGAGATTTTTAGCAGTGGCCGGCAATTCTTGTTTAGCTATAAGATCGTTAATCGTATTTTTGACAATGTTTTGGTTAATTACAGTGAGGTCTTTGTCGACTTTGGCATAAAAGGAGGTGTCAGAAAGTTGCCGCAAAGCTTCTTTTTGATCAGAGGTCGGCCCGCCAAACAACAACTGCGCCGCCTTTGTCGGCCGCCTTAATGACAATGTCTTTGCGTTTTTTTAGACTTTTTAGTGCCGACCACTCTTCCGAAGAAAGATTGGAAAAAGCCCTTGCTGAGAACTGATTTTTCTGAATCGGAAAGTAGTAAATTTTCTGGAATGGTAACTACAGTTTTGAGGTTAACAGGCGATGAGTCGTTAGTAACTTGAGGGCCGATAAGTTGGTCGAGTGAGTGCTGTAAGGTTCATAATAGCTTAATCAAAGAAGGAAAGAGCTCTCATACACATCACGTTCCACGAGCGCGAAAATGGGAACAAAGAGAATCCGTAAGACGGTGATTCAAGTAGTCTCGTCCTTTCTTCCTCGAGCCAAATTTCTGGGAAATTACCTTAGATCCTCACATCATATGTTTATGTGCTTTAAAAGCTTTGCTTTTGTTTGTTCCTTTGTTATTTTGCTTGTTTTTTTCTTCTGCAGAGGGCCTGACACAGTATTTCTCACGTGCATTTTAACTAGGTTTTTCGTTTTTCCATCTTTTTCATCTTCTTCCGTTATTATATTAGGTTTTAGTAAATTAGCTCATTAGGTAATAAAAGGATGCCCCGTTTCTTATTATTGTATGTCTTCTTGACACTTTTGGATGCCTGATTATCCACGCTAGGTAGCAGCACTACTGCAGTGTGGTTATCAAACTTGTAAGAAACCAAATTGGTTAAATATTGGGACCGAGAAATGAAAGGAATATAACCCAGCTGAAATACTGGACTTAGTAAATAAGCGCAGCAAATACTCACAAGTAGACAGATTGATCTTTTGTTTTTAGCCACAGGCGAGAAGTACATCGAAGACACCTGAACTGAATGTCTCTTCCGTATGGGACTATACACCCAATGGGGGTAAGTTTCTATATTAACTGTGTGCCGCTTCTTTCAAAGGGGGGGGGGGGGTAACTGCAATGTTATTTGGTTTTATCAATTAGATTGGTGATGTAAATTGGCCACCTTAAAGAGAAACCCTTAACGGCAGGCAATTTACACTATCAACTCTGCCGATAAAACCAAATTATGGTATAAATTGTTGTCGCTCTTGTTTTATGTTATTATTTACCGATTTTTTTGCCATGCCTTACCTTAATTATAACTTTACATGACCTTGGGAAATTAGACCGGTAAAATAGTGTGATTAGTTCTTTCTGTACTGAACAATATTCTTAAAAGTGATACATATAGTTCCCTCTAAGGCCAATTAGGATATGGTCTTCTCCTGGGAAGGGGTGGCTATTGTTTCTTGTCTTGTTTCTCTGCTACAGAGGCGTGAATTTTTTTTCGTCTACTTTCCGGGCACTGAAAACATTGATGTCACTCAAAGTAATTCCGATCAAACTTTAACCGTAAATCTATAGAACAAAAAGTTATCTTTCAAATCGGCATTCTAGATCCTCACGGTATTACGGAAAAATCTTGGGTTAACTTGAGAAATTCTTTGCGGTGGGCCAGTTTTTATATATAACTATATTATATGTTATCAGTATGAAACCAAACTATATTGCGCTAACTGTTTGCCATGCAGGTGTCCCAGAAAATGCAACAGCGGGCAGTGTAACAACTTTCAATTCAAACATCGTGGTATCTCATGGTACGCTCTCTTGAATTGTCTCTTAGTATGTATCATATTGTTGGCGTTGAAGATGTATCCTCCGCCTCAAATTCCGAAAAAGCCTAATGCAAATACCCAATAGTATTATTTTCCAAGAGCTTACGCTCGGTAAACTATTCTATATGAAGAATTAAAAAAACAGTATAAACATTCATTGCCACATTTCTGAAACGTTCATCGAAGCAACCAATTTCATTTACCTTCGATTCTTTTGGCCAGTTTTTATATATCACAATGTGATTTTGCAGGTGTCCCAGAAAATTTACCGTTGGCGATAGTATGTATCATATTGTTGGCGTTGAAAGTGCCTCAAATTAGCAAATACAATTTTCCGCTGCTCGCGTCAACGCAGTGCCTTTATCAGCTCTCAAGCTTAGATGAATCATCTTATTTGACTTCGATATTGTGATAAAAGCAAATCGACAGTGGCTTGGCGAGGCTGCGCCTCGTGGGCCCACAACATTTTGACTACTGTGATAACGAATATCGTTGTCGATAAGAGTACAGGCCACGCTAAATCCCTTTCGATTTGATAATTGGAGGCAAAAACCTGTCTACCGTACGAGCTATATCAAAAACAGGCAATCTTTTTATCTCCCGTGACACTTTTCGCACAGACGTGTGTGCTGTGCAAACAACACCTTCCATTACTAAGTTGAAATTTTATCATATTTAGAGTGAGTCGATGTTGAAACAAGGCCCCAGTTCTCAATACCGTCATCACAGAAATGAAAGAAATTGAGATTTATTCAAAAGTTTTAATGATACGCTCAATTTCGTTTCCTGTTGCATGTATTTTTTTTTCTAATTTTTTTTTTTTTTTATAGGGAAAGCCGGCTCCGCGAAGTCAAAGTGGGAATTAGGGTTTGAGTACTTACCTTACCTGTCAATCCTTGCCATTCCTGCATTTCTTTGGGCTGTGACTTCCAAGCTCCGAAAGAGGAGTGGAGTGAATAGTGAGTAAAATTTTCCTATGTGAGTAGTTAAGATTTTCAACTTTCCCTTTTCGTTTTGATCTACTCCTCGTGGTTTCCATGTTGCCAAGTACATCGGGATGTTTATTACACTCATTTTGAAATTTCTGGAGATCTTTATCATCAGTGATTGGATCTCTACAATGCTGTTTATTTAATAATTATACTTTCTCTTGCTCTTATTGAAAGAAACCTCAGCAAACGAGAATGAAACAGTACTGCAATACCAGCGAGTAGAAACTGAAACGTAAGTGTATAGTGGTTTCTAATCAAGTTATGTGTAAAAGCTAATAGATCATTTATTAACCAATGATTATATTACAAGGCAAGTTTTTCCCTTTCTGCTCCAAATTCCCGGATTCCTTCTCAGAAATCAGACTCTCTACCGTTAGTATAAGAATTACAACAACGAATAAAGTTTAAATTCTTTAATTATCATTAAGTTATACCCCATTCACCCCAAAGCTTAAACATGTTTTAGAGCTCCTTTGTTAAACACGGTTTAATTTTTTTTTGCGATAGAAGCTGGTTAAACCATTGTTTTTCAACTTCAAATGTAGCCTATTGGTTCTGATTTTCCTTCAGTTAAACACGGTTCAACTAAGCGTGTTTTGCTGGAGTGAATGGGGTACTAGTTTCCTTTGTCGTAATTTCTCTACTTTTTCCAATAGAGTGCCAATGGTTCCAGTTCCGTCCTGGGAGTTTCCGAAGGAAAACTTGGCGATTGAAAGAGTAGTTGGTCACGGTGCGTTTGGAGTAGTCTCTAAAGGCTACGCTCGATATCTGCAGGGCTACACAGAATGGACAGTTGTGGCAGTAAAAAGCTTGCAGGGTAATTTTTTTCAAGTAATTATAAAAATCACAAAGATCAATCAAAGAAACTGAGTCGTCTTAATTACATAAAAAAATCGTAGTTAAATCTAAAGATGAGGAACTTAAAGAGGAAAATATATGCTTTCCTCAAATGAAATGCAATTAAAGAAGTTGAGAAGATAAGCTTTATACGAAGCTACGAGGCTGCAAGCTGTAAGGTGAACGAAAATTTAAGCAGGCTGTTCGATTCATATCCCCGAGGAAAAGATGACCCAAATTGAATGACATAAATCACATTTGAGCCCCTAATACTATTAGAATGGATAAATAGTCCTTGCAACAAAGGGGCCGGAAAGAAAGAAAGAAAGAAAAGTTTTCCCTTTATCTGCAACAAGTCAATTCATTACCTTACGCAAGGCCTCCATTTCAGGGTTCAACTTTGTCTCCGTCGCTTATAATTTTCTCTTACTAAAAAGGGAGTTTCTTACTGTTTTTGATCAACAGAAGGTGCGACGGAAAGTGAAAGAAGAGATCTGTTGTCTGAATTAAACCTCCTAAAGAAACTAGAACCTCATCCACATGTAATAACACTTTTGGGTTGCATCACAGAGGAAAAAGGTAATTACACGTATAATTGATCACTATCTTTTTACACAAATTTGTGGATATTTATTGATTACTCCTTCCGCTCACACAGGCATATAAATAATGCATAAAGTATAGTAAATTGAATAATGCATGCTTTTGAAGTAATTTTCAGTTTTTCTTCTTCAAATGTTTAGCGTGCATTTTAAATTAATCATTGTGCTATGAGCAGTGCCATTATTGTGATTAATATAAGTAATTTTAGTTTTCTAAGTTATTTATGTAAATACTGTAAGCATTAAAATTTTCGAACTGAAAAGGATAAAGATTCCCATCGGCCCATTTTCGACATTAAACAGATTCTGTTATAAGTAAGATTGATTTTTCATTTGCCGTGCGTTGCTTTTCGGGGGGTAATGAGGGTCTTTAGAAAATCGCTCTTTAAAAATGACTTTCACACCGATAATGACCGAGTTTTTAGTATTTCCAGGTGCAAAATGATAATGCTTCTATCCCATAAAAATCTTTTATCTCAGGTGTAAATTGTACTTATATATTTAACCTTCAAAAAGTCATGCGTTAACATAAAAAAATCACGTCTAATACTCAAAAAAGTAAGTTTTAAAAGGCCCAGTGGGTCGATTTGGGCCCATTCTTCTCTAATTTATGACTCTTCAAAGCGAAGTAGTATTCGAATTTGCCGCTTTAACGGTTATGAATGGTTAATGATGTCCGCGCATACTGCTCGATAATGTAGGAGCTAAGGCTTATTAGCGCAAGTAATAAAAAAAAAATCAAAAAAAGGAAATGAAAATATCGAAAAAAGTACAGCGTACATTAGAGGTACAAATGTTTGTTGTATTATCTCAATTTCTTGGTTCGTTCTTCTAATTTATTCTTACTTACTATACGATTCAACCTTAAAGATCAAACATTGTAAAAAAAAAAATCTTCATTCTCTTCAGATAGCCTAAGTCTTTGAATATGTTTTGCAATGTATATTTGGAAAGCAGTTTTTATCATTCTATAGAAAACCCATATGTAATCATTGAGTATGTACCTTACGGAGATCTTCTCGGTTACCTTCGGAGAAGTCGTGGGTGGCACGACTGTTACTACGAATATCCCGAGATAAAACCAGCGACGTACCTGACCTCCGAGCAGATCCTGACATTCGCCTGGCAGATAGCTGACGGCATGCAATATATCTCATCTAAAAGGGTGCGTGTTTTCAATTGATAATTATTTATAACATTCCCTTGTATCCTTAATATCATCATCTCTTTTGTTTTTTTTGTTTTGTTTTCGTTTTCTATCAATAGATCATCCATCGAGACCTAGCAGCAAGGAATGTATTGGTTGGTGAAAACCTCAGATGCAAGATTACAGATTTTGGGATGGCTCGCGATATTGATTTGCAAGATATTTATATACCTCGTAATCAGGTAGTTCCTTTTCTCAGCAGTTATCCTGCCCAAACTGTTTCAATAATGAAAGGACGTCCACTTTGACTAAGATTTTTAATATGATGAACGCTTAAACTTAGATATAGATGAAGTGATGAGAGATGTAAGCTCGTCCTTCACCTCGGTCTGCAGATCTTACGTTTGCCTTCCCCTCTTTTCCTCTATATTTATGGTTTTAATTGATTAATTTATTCTTTAACCAATAGATCGAGATCGATGCGCTAGAATCTCTCGATGTCTTAGGAACTAATGCTATTTGAGATCCGATCACTATAAAAAAAGAAGGTAAAAAAAAAAAGAGGAAAAGAAAGGAAGAAAGAAGAAGATAAAGAAAAAAAAAATAAGAAAAAGACACTATATCCCTCAGTTATTCCAAAAGGGGATCACCGAAAATTAAATGTATCCTCAGAAAAATGAAGGTTTCTCCTCATAAACTTCTTTCAATACAGGGTCGAATTCCTGTTAAATGGACAGCAATTGAAGCAATGACTGGAAGGATGGAATACTCAACGAAAAGTGATGTGTAGGTTTAGCCTACGTGTAGTGCAGCAGTACCCTTCCCCCGCTAAGGTGAAACGAAGGCGAGGCAAAGTCAACGCAAACCTGACACTAATCGTGTTCCGTGAAGTCACTCTTTTGCAAAAAAAAATGTATAATGACTGTTTTATTGGTTAATCCCTTTTATAAAGTTATTCAAATAGTATGCGCGCTCTGATTGGCCATAAAACCATTTTACATGAGTGTATGTAAACACGGTTTTCGTTCCTCTTTCATTAGTTATTTTATAAAAGAAATGTAAAATGGTTTCCGTGTTTACATAGCCTGATGTAAACACTTGGGAGGTTAGGAGAACACTTGATAAGCTGGAAACCACTCCGCTTCGCGTCGTGGTTTCCTACGCTTATCTCGTGTTCTCCCAACCTTTTGCGTGTTTACTTCAGGCTCTGTAAACACGGAAACCATTTTACATTTCCTCATTGTCAACTCATTCTTCGATTCTGATTGGTTCTAGTTGTAATTTATTTTCATATTAACAAACAAGATGCTGAATAAAATGTTTTCACGGTCAACTTTCCAGAGAACAGCGATCTACGACGAGGTTTTAAGGCAAGTTTGCGCGGCGTTTGGGATAGAGACATTTCAAGAAGAACAGCAGAAAGCGATAGATATTTTTTTCGAAGGTAACGATGTCTCCCTTTCGTTACCAGCTGGCTATGGAAAATCCTTATTACATCAAGTTGCGTCTGTGATCGATCACCTTTCTCCTTTAGGGGAAGGCGGTCACTACATTTTTTATTTTTTTAAAGCTCTCAGAGAAGACCAGGTGCACTATCTTAATGCACTTGGGCCAAGAGGGTCGTCGGCCTTCAACTTTCGGTCTCCTTGTGAACGGTGCTTTGAAGGTAAATTAAAGCCGGTCGTTTCATACAGCGATTCTTTCGACTGAGGAAAGAGTCGCTCTTTCTTCACGCTTGCAGCGTAACTCAAGGAAACCTTTGAAATCCTTGAGATTCTGCGGCAGATGATCCACCTCTTTTCGACGGCCGTGGCACTGTTTACAAATGCAAGCAGAAACCGCGTGGACATTGAAATCTAGTTTCGTAAGTGCGATGCTAATCGATTAGTGTCAGGTTTGCGTAGACGCTCCCTCGCTTCCGTTCCATCATCGGGGAGGGTACGGCTACACGTAGGCTAGTGTAACTTGAGATAAATGAAATTACAAACTTGAAACACTTGAAGCCTTTTTAGAAAACAAGATAAAGTAAATCTAGAAATCTTACAGCTGAAGTAGAAGATAAGCACCTCTCAATTTAGCTAGAATACGGAGATCTAGGAAATCTAAAGACAGAAAATACTGAACTTTTGTTTTTACTTTCTTGCAGGTGGAGTTTTGGAATCGTTTTATACGAGATTTGCACCATTGGTAGGTCTTATACTGACCTCGTAGTGGTTTAAGGTTTAAGATTTAAGAAGGCATCGATCGAAATAGAGTATACAAGTACCAATTATCTGCCGTGATAGGTAATGATGAAGCTCTTTAGGATAGTATATTTACTTTCAGACTTCCGTGGGAAATGGAGAAAATCGTAAGCAGTCAGTATTAATGAGAGACCAAGAATAAGAGATGAGTGATCTCTAACACACGTGTGCATATATTCAATCAATAGCTTGCTTTCTCTATCATGATAGTATTTTAATAAAACAGCTTTCTATCGGTTTGAGTGTTTGTCACCCAAAGCAAGCTCTCGTAATTTGTTCCTCTATCACTCGAGAAAAGTTATAAAGTAAAATTAAGAGATTCTTTGGTCATCATAGTACATTGACTGTCATCTTAAATTATTACACACTTTAGGCGCTGAACCTTATCCCGGAATAAGTCCATATAAGATTCCAAGAGTATTACAAAAGGGGTACAGAATTCCTAAACCTGATTATTTTAAGGATGAGTTGTAAGTAATTCCTAACCTCTCTACAGTAATTTTCAAAATGATAATGGCAAAAGATCTTTCATAAGGTAATCTAAGTTAATCCATAATGTAATGTATCGCAATCCAACTGAACTCTAAAAAACGCATAGCTAAACCTACAACTTTCTAAACCTAACGTTAAAATAAGAGAATTTCTAGGAAACTAAACCAAATGCAGTGCAAAACTCATAGGTTACTCTCCGCCTCGTCTCCAGCTGTTATGTAGTTATTTACCCATTTATATCTGTCGTATGAAACGGATAAGGTGCAATCAGGGCGATGCGCGAAACCTAAATCGACATTCTGTTGATTTTAAAATTTTACTACCGTTGGTAATGTTGTATTCTGTTAGCACTAACCATGGAAAATACTGGAATTCTTCAGGTATAATATCATGCTGAATTGTTGGGAAACGGATCCTGAAATAAGACCGTCATTTGAGTTTTTATGCTCCTCCATCAGGGGATTACAAAAGTCTAATCAGGTTAGAATTCTTGTGACAAATGTTACTCGTATTGCAGATCCTCTTAAGTATTTATCTTGTAAATCAGTGCTCAGGATTATGATCGTGCGAGTGATGGACGAATGGTAAAGTCATTTTTTGTGTTCAGGAACACGAGCCACGGGAGACTTGCATACAAAACTGAAAATTTTGGGGCACATCCTTTCTGGTGACAAATCAGTGTCGCAATTTCTTGTGAAGTTGAGTTGTTTCCTATTGCGGGCATGTCCCATCAGCAGTGAAAAGGTCTTGGAAAGACGCTTTTGACGAGTTTTCCTTTCACTTCTGATCTTAAATTTCGTCGTCGCTCTCTTTTGCAGAATTATGTCAACATACAAGACTGCCTTGAGACTCACCAAAGTTTATAACAATCAAAGAGGTTCTCAGAGATAAGATGAGACAATTTCCGGTTTCCTACTGGGCCACTGGTTTACATATCATAATATTTAATATTAATTCTTGGAAAGAAATGGCATAGATACCGTCGTCTTTCTGCGCCTACGAAGGACATCCCGGTGCCAGCTCGTATCCACTGGCGAGGTACTTCTGATACCAAGACAACCTCCACGCTCTCAGAAAAAGCATCTTGATTATGCCACAAAAGTTCACTCCAATCACGGGAACCATACCGCATCGACTAAAACGTACAACGACTTGAATGTCCCAAATGCCAAAAGATTTCCACTTTCGTTTAACACAGTATGAGCTCTACTTTCTACGCTTTAAAATGGTCAGTTCTGTTAACGACATTTTTAGAAGCACCCAACACGACTCATATTACCACTGATCTCTTAATCGTGAGTCGTGTAGTTTATATAAGATATTTGGGTCTGATTTTCCCTAAAGCAAGTGGCAAACGGGCCACCGACTTACTTGATGCCTGACTACATTTGTGGTAGTCGTCTGAGTCCCCTGCTTGGGGTTTACAGCACTTTTAACACATAGTCATAGCCGTCTCTAACAGAGTGAAGTCTTTTTTTTTTCGTTTGCAGGGGTGATCGGATGTCTGATTTCGATCATAATTTATAACCACCCAAAAGAAGAGAGTAAAGACAAAGGGTCCATCCTCTAAATAAGAATATATTAGACTAAGTTATCATTACTACCAACTATAAGATAGTAGACGATGGATAACAAATAAATTTATTTACTACATCCATTTTAAAATCACTGTTGGTCCCTGTAATATGATTGGCTCTAATTGGTGCGATTTGTTCACGAATCGCGCCATTATTTGCTCTTAATCGAACCTTTTTCCCAGCCAACGAAAAAGCTACACTAAACATAAAACAACCAATCAGATTTCAAGGCTTGTTTGAAGCAACCAATCAAATTGCAGGAAAATGAAAGACGAAGAGTATAATGTGGCAAATTTTGCAACTCTTCTCTCCAAAACCCTCATTTTTTCCCTCCCAAAAATGAATGAATTTAATTTCTCATGGTTTTTGAAAGATGAAAATGAGATCCTTCAGGTTAAAGATCAACACTCAAGGGACTTTCCCACTTTTCGTGTACATTTTGGTGAGTTTTTTTTTGACGATTTTCTTCCTTCTCAAGCTCAAAACCCGCGCGATCCCAAGACAACCGCGTCCACCGAGTCAGCAAGAAACGAAGAAAATCAAGAGCTACCACAAGAGTTGGATGTTTCAAGATTTCCTATCATTTCAAGCGATGAAATACATGAGCTGCGCGAAGTGGCGCTGGGGTATACTCGGAGCTGATTCCTCTGATTAGAACATTTGCACCAATGGACGACTTCTCGGAGAACACAAACAACAGTAAAGACTGCGGACTCCAGTTTTTCTCAAATCTTGATCGGTATGGAGTCAGATGTATTACTTGATAATGACACTGAGCCATTGTGAATGAAGGGCTTAAAAATGTTCATGACAGATTTGGACTGACCACTGACTTCACTCATAGGACTTGTAGTCTTCTTTCTTGGAACTCGGGGAAGTGTATCTTCACTAGCAGGAGATAAAGACGATGGCTTAGCGATAAAACCGTTAGGGTTCGGCTCCATGCTATTTTGTTTTTGCGCCACTCTCCTCTTTTCCGGGCAGCTAGAAATCAGGTGACCTTCTTTTCTGCAATAGTAACATGTTGGTGGCTTGATGAGCTTACTTTGATAAAACTTTCTCTGTCTTGACCATCAGGAGCTGAAACGATTTCTGTGGTTGTTAGCAGGATTCTGTTTTGGATGACCTCCATCATTCTGCCAAGCTATCGTGGTACCGAAGGAGGAAGAACTCTACCAGATGGAGTGCGAAGCTGACGGGGTATTTCCACGCAATTAACTATGGGGTTCAACGAAAACTCATCCACTAATCGTTCTGCAGCGTCCCCTAACGTTTCTCCTTTTTGCTCATCGATGAATGTTTGGACATCACTGTGAATGCACCCCTCACATCCCTCTATTTAAATAAGCTGTCTTAACCTATCATAACTACGTACCTCTGTGAATGGCACCAAGCTTCAAATAGCCTTACTTCTAGCAAATTCTACTTAGGTCTGACTAACGACTTTCTCACAGTTTCTAAACTTTTGAGAAAGTTCATAAACGTTTTAAATAAGATCCTTAACAGTGTCATAACTTGCAGCTTGCTCTTCACTTAACTGTGTATAAATTTCCCTTGATTTACGAACTAGTACACTCTATAATAACATTGCCCAGTTAACCTTGGGCCACTTAAGGTTCCTCACTACTTTCTCAAAGTGCAAAAATACTTATCAATATTTGCTTTCTGAAATGGAGGTACTCACTCAATATACTTAGCGATATCAAATTTCTCCCTTGAATTTTCACAGTTAGGGTCTAACCTTA